TTAGCAATTGTTTCAAACATAGACATGTAATATGGGTCATTGGCAACATTAAAGGCCAATCCGGCAGAATAGCGAAATCTACCGATTGCCCAACATGCTTCTTTTCTTTCATCTTTTTTCCACTTTGAATTTAGAGTAGAATTCCTTGCTTATGTTAAAAAAAACGGCCGACAATGTTATAGTGAAAGAATCCATTAGACCTCTAACTCTAGGTGGCCTCTGCGAAGAGTCAAATATTGATGAATTTGTAGTATTTTGACCTTCACTAATATTTATTACACTGCTTCTAATATCGTTTAAGATGCTATCACATTATGTTTTGACTTTTGCATCTTCTTCTAATGCTTTCTTGCATCTCTCTTGAATTTCAGTAGAGGCTTTAGTACATGGCTTAATACTCTTGTGTGTGTCTGCAAGATGTTTTATCCTGTTTATTGTTCCATTACAGAATTGATTGCAAAACTTACATCTGAAATATTTTTCATTGGATATGTTTGTTGTATATTGACATGCAAAGCCTTTCTTACTAGTGTGACTATTACCGGAGACACAACCCACCACCCACACGCTGCCCTCACTAACCTAACACATTAAAAAGAAACAGATCAAATCCACCTCTAGCAAATTGCATACAAGAAAAATTGCGGTTTATTGTAGCAAGAGTGGTTTCTAGTACATCTTTAACATGAAAGGAAAAAAAATTGTGGTCCCTATAAGAGCTACAGTGAAATCATAAAAAAAAAAATGCAACAGTCAATTTTGTGAGCTACAATAACCAAAAAAAAAATCTGCGACTACGGTGAAATGATAATTAAAGTCTCATAATTTTACTATTTCTACTTTCTACGCTACAGTAACCACAAAAGACACATATATAAGCATAAAAATAGCAAAACTCACTGGCTGCGCCACTGTGGGAGAGATAATGCGGGCGAGTGCGGAAGAGAAAATGTAGGCGAGTGCGGGAGAAGACAATGCGGGTGTGCCCTATCCAAGCCTTCGTGCGAGAGGAAGATCGCATACGTGCGGGATGAAGACGACGTGGATGGGATGAAGAGGACAAAGAAGATGCGAGTGCAGGATTAAACTGTAGCTTAGTGCACAGTAGTTGTACGAAGGAGAGGAACGAAGAAGTTGAAGGAAGAAGAAGAAGCAGAAGTCGAAGGAGAAAACCTTCAAAGTCAAGTTCGAACTCTGTGTACGATGGAGGAAGTAGAGTGCCTACAAGGGGGATGACTGTGTGCGGCTCAAATCGAACAGGTATTTAGAAATAAGGATTTTCAACCCTTTTTATTCCGATGCGAGTGCAGGATTAAACGGTAGCTTAGTGCACAGTAGTTGTACGAAGGAGATGAACGAACAAGTTGAAGGAAGAAGAAGAAGAAGCAGAAGTCGAAGGAGAAAACCTTCAAAGTCAAGTTTGAACTCTGCGTACGATGGAGGAAGTAGAGTGCCTGCAAGGGGGATGACTGTGTGCGGCTCGAATCGAACAAGTATTTAGAAATAAGGATTTTCAACCCTTTTTATTCGATTAGGAGGTGGGGCGTACACCCCGTTCACCACCACCACCGCACCAACAAGGGCTTATGCCTCACCCTAGGGCGCACCCTAAAACGCTTTTTAAATAGAGCCACCACCACCACCGCACCAACATCACCACGTCACCAGACTATCAAGGGATTCACAGCCACACCAACACCACCACATCACTGCACCAACACCACCACAACCATAGTACCACCACCACCACATCACCACACCATCACCGCCACCACCACCACACCACACCACACCGCATGACCACCACAACCATCGCACCACCAACGCCGCCACCATCACACCGCACCAACGCCGCCACCACCACCACACCACACCGCACCACCACCACCACATCATTACCACACCACCACACCACCATCACACCAACACCACCACTACCACATCATTACCATCATCACACCATAATGAGAAAGAGAGCAATATAAGAAACCTCACTATTTCAAACTCAAAGTCATCTAAAACAGATGTCATGAAGGTTTTAAACTTAATACAAAAAAACAGACTATTTTATTTAGTAGATCCAAACTCAAATTCATTCCTAGAGAATTTGTCTAGAAATTTATAAGAGTAAAAAGGTGATCATCGTCCTCCAACATAAACTAAATTCAGGACACATGCATCGTTGCCATTGACAGCATAATTCAAAACCAACCTAAACACCACACCAGTCCAACTGAAATTCATCTCAAAGAGGCACAACCTAAATGACCCAACCCGAGCACGTATGGCAACTCCACTCCTCACCCATTGAAAAGAAGTTGAAAAAAATTATATTTAAAAAAACCACAAACCGCAAACCACAAAGAGCAAAGACACTCATAACCACAAACCATAAAGGGCAAAGAAACTCATAACCAAACTAAACAGCTCAACTCCAAATCCCTTTCTTCTAGCTACAAATTGTAAAGAGCAAAGAGACCACAAACCAATTTCTCCTAAGTTCACAAAAAAAAAACGAAATGTGGATCTTCCAAATCCCTTTCTTCTACCACATACTGCAAAGAGCAAAGAGACTACAAACCACAAACTGCAAAAAGTAAAGCTGCAAATCACAAATCACAAACCGCGAAGACCAAAACATACTATAAACCACAGCAAAAAGGCAGCCCAAAATAAACATTGCAGGTAAAGGGTAAAAGGTATCGAAGGTTGAAGGAGATCAAAGGAAGTAAATGTCGGCAATCCCTCGCCACAGGTGCCAGACAATGAAGAAAAAAAAGGGAAGAAGATAACTCTAGGCAACGTCGTCGCTCTAAGGGATAGGAAGAGAGGGGCAACTAGGTAATCGCAAACAAATGAAACGCCGAATGCTTGGGGCAGCCAACTTATCAATATTATGCAGCTTTTTATTAAAAGCCGTCATGTCATGCTTTCCAAACAGCCCATTTGGCATTTTCAAAACGCACCGCATTAAAGAAGTTGCCCTAAACGTACCCTAAGTTTGCATCTCTTTAACTGATTCTCTCTTGTGGTTCTACTAACTTTTATAATTGTAAGGATTTATTTATGTTAATGAAAAGAATTTGCTCTTTTGTCCAACAGGAAAAAAAATGAAAATATACAAGAAATCTTCAATCTGATCACTGGGAAGACTATGAAGTTAATAGACTCTCCATAAGTTCATAGGATGGCATGTAGAAATGTGAAACATTCATGAATCTAACTTGTGCTTAGAAAAGAATGCAATACAGCCTTACCGTGTATCCTGATAACTAGGAAGGCCTTGAAATTAATAAAAACATCATACGGTAAGGTAATGTAATGCAAATCTGAAAGGTTTTTATTCAGAGCAAATAATAAGTGTGTTCATATTATTTTAGTTAAGTCTACGTTAATATTTTTCTAATTTATTTCTTATAAATCATGGTTATAGTGCTGATCAAATCAAGAACAGTTGTGCTCTCTAGAAACTACAATAGTTTGGTTTGGCTATCTATTTTGGTTTTGGCTCAAGTCACTAGTTTTCCTGTGTTCACTGATTTTATTACTATACTTAACTATTGTTGTTTGCTACTGTAGTTACTACCGCTGACTATTCACTGCCTCCCGTTTGGGATCCGCTTCGTCTCCAATTAATGTTCTGGTGCTAGTTAACACTTGCTTCACTGCTTTTCTTATGGGATAATTACATACATGGCACTCAAAACACTGATATTTACAAATCTAGCACGTTATTTCATCCAATTTTCAAATTCTCACTCAATTATCAGAATCCATGAACCCATATTTTTCATTTTTATCAAAACATAATGTATTAGTTTGGTAGCCCAAAAAAATAATCTGAATGTTAGTTTTGTAAATAGTAAAGTTTTAAGTGGTGTATATAATCATCCCTTTTCATTAGGAATGCAATTTAGGTAGTTGTTATGTATCTTAATATGCCCGATTCCCGTATATACAAAACTGCGCCTCCAAATTTTGTTGGGAACTGACTCTTGCAATGAATGCACAATAGCAAGAAAATGGTAGCTGTTGTCTTCCAATCCGGGCTCTGTAGTGGGCAAGGAAACTTGCTCTTTTTGTACAAGTAGGATCAGAAAGTATTTTCTTTTTCTATTGTTTGGATCAAAATTTGATGCAAAATTTCATCAAATATTGGAGCATTCTAAGGAATTATTTTTTTTGTATCTTTTAATTAAAAATAGGAGCCCCTAGCAATATTCAATTTATTCAATAGTTTAATAAAATTGTAATTTTCTATCAGTACTTATATGTACTGCTGGATATAGAATCTTCAAACTCTTTGCAAGTCTTGAGGAATGTTTCTTGCTGTATAGGCTTGAGGCCTAGATCTTTAAATTGTTAATCTTTTGTTCTACCATGTAATTTGTTTTGTGATTGATTTGTATGCACCATTTGATATCTTATCTAGTTTCCTAAGTACTGGTTTATGTCTTGAGGTGTGAATCTTAATTGCTATAGAAATTTATATTAGTTTACAGATTTCTTGCTGAATTCAGATTTTAACGATTTATATATTATCCTTCCGAATGAATAATTTTTAGGGCGTTTCTTGGCTCATCTCATGCTAGTTTTATATTAATGAACCTTAAACCCTGAGAGCTCCTGGAGTATGAAGGAATGCAAATGTGAAAAAAATCATGAATCCAAATTATGGTAATAAGAGACTGGAGCACAACCTGACAGTGCATTGCTATCATTTCCACATCTTGGTTGGTATGCCTAAAAAAAAAGCTTAGCACAAAACACCTTTAAAAATTTTGAAATTAAATAGACATCCCAACAGATCTGTAAATATAAAGCTTTAAAAGATATACTTAAAACCTCCATGGTAAAACCATATATCACGTTGCAGCTAAAAAATAAGGTGCAATAAATTTAAATAGTAAGAGATATTGTAAGAAAAAAAAACAATATAAGAGAGCCACCATCAACCATGCTTAATCACCAGAAATAAGCTTCTAGATGAGCTCACTCACCACTAAATCTCTCCATGCACAAACTTTCCAAATAAGGTCCTGAAATGAAATTGAAAAAGAACATTAAGCATAAAAAACCTTATGAAAAGCTGACATAAAATGTTCTTTATCTTAAGCCATTAAGTGCGTTCAAGAGACCTTCGTTTGAGCAGTCCTACATGTAGAAACTCCATCCTTGTTCCAGTTACGTGAAAGGATAGAAGCTGCAGCAGAAGCTCCAGGAGATGATTCAATCTCCTTTGCATAAAGCTGCAAGCACACCGTGTTTGATCTCCGACTGGCCTCCAAGAAAAAATTGAATTTGTCATCGGGACAAGCAGATTTATCTGATTAGATAGCAATACTCATCTAATAAGCTTTAAAGAAAAAAAATTCTTGCAACACAAAGACTGCATAACATTAAAGCATCATATTTTTGCTCGTTTACATAAACTCCTAAATACTTATAATCTTTTTTATTTAATCGCATTGTCCACACAAAAAGAATATAAACATGATCATTCAGGAACAAGTGAAATAATATCATGATCAAGAGGGTAAGCTTCTCACATAAAATAAATACTCAAATCATGACCAGACTTAAGAAAATTAGTCGAGTCACTTCAGGTTAAGGTACATGAGTGTTGACCTCATTTTCAATACTTAAATCATGACCAGACTTAAGAAAATTAGTCGAGCCACTTCAGGTTAAGGTACATGAGTGTTGACCTCATTTTCAATACTTACATCATTTCCTTAGGATCCTAGGATCTAGCTCTAGGGGTTCCTATTGACTATCTTAGAAAACTAGAATAGAAAACTAGAACTGAGACCCTCTTTTTTTAGAAATTCCAGCCATTTCCTATTTCTTTTGTGGTGTATCGCATTGATGAACTCAAAACTATCGTCCTATGGTCGAGTGGTAAAGGACAATCATGTGGAGATTCAGGGAGAAGTTCCTAATAGAATCTCAAGCCCTAGAAAAACCACTTCAGGACTTTATCATCACACATGTACACCAAATGCACAAAATTCACTAAATTGCACAAGATCGGACCTAAACTGAGCCTAAAGGATGGGTAAAAATGCGAACTTCTCTGGACAACCTCCGACGGCAAAATGGATTGTGTCAACGCGTCCAAGACACTAATTTTAGCTAGGAAAGACAACCATATTGTCATAATTCCGCACACGAGAAAGTTGCACGCAAACCGATGAATTCGTCAAAATGACCTCCGATGAAGAAACGGACTGCGCTAACGCGTCCGGAAAGTCAGAATTACCTAAAAAAGACACGAATTTTGTTATGTTTTGATGCACGAATAAAATGTACGAAACGAATTTTATTTTTAAGAAATATTAAATATTTTATATATTTTATTACTTATAAAATTAAAATTATAATTCTAAACCCTATTTACCCCTCTACCCGCGCACTTAAACACCCATTTGACCCGTCACATGGCTCGATTCCGCGGCGCTCGTCTCACTCCCCTCGCGTGCCCTAGCTCCCGTGGACGATCCACGAGGTAATCTCTTCCCCCTTTCTTGACTCTTCCCCTTCTTCGCGTTACCGTTAAACTCTTCGACTCTCCAATTGCAAGGGACGAGCTGGTCGAGTCTTCCCCTTCTCGAGGTTGTACCGTCTCCCTCTTTACTGTGGCGATTCTGTTCTTGTCGTTTGATTCGCCAACCAGTGAGGCTGGTAGGTGGCTATCCCCCTCTCTTCTCTGCTTATACAAAGGGTCTCTGGTGTACTGTTTTGGGTTGTTGAAAATTTCTTGAGAGAAAGGGAGGTTGTGGTTTTACTGTTTGAGGTCTTTAGGGAAGAAAGCTCTGCCGAAATTCTTTCTAGACTAAATTCTCGTGCGTTGGGAGTGTGGAGCATTCGTGGATTGTTGTTTTCTGAAGCTTTTAGGAAGGGAAACTTTGTCGAAATCCTCTCTAAGTTAGATTCTCGTGCGTTGGGAGTGTGGAGCATTCGTGGATTGTTGTTTTCTGAAGCTTTTAGGAAGGGAAACTTTGTCGAAATCCTCTCTAAGTTAGATTCTCGTGCGTTGGGAGTGTGGAGCATTCGTGGATTGTTGTTTTCTGAAGCTTTTAGGAAGGGAAACTTTGTCGAAATCCTCTCTAAGTTAGATTCTCGTGCGTTGGGAGTGTGGAGCATTCGTGGATTGTTGTTTTCTGAAGCTTTTAGGAAGGGAAACTTTGTCGAAATCCTCTCTAAGTTAGATCTCTTTCTGATTCGAAATGCATGATAAAGGAAATTTTTGGAAAATTCCAGTTGTTGTGTGATGATATTTGCTTATCTGGAATATATGCTAGAAATGAAATATTAATACTCTTTATATCATTATTTTTGTTCAAGTAAATGTTGGAATTCATTTCAATGCTTAGACATGTTGGCTTTAGGGATTCATTTATACTTATTTGTTTCCTGTTACCTGTTTGAAATAAATGTTGGGTGTAATATTTTGAGACATGAGGTTTTATGAGACTTGACTTTGATGGCTCTATTTTTCCCATTTGGTAGGCTGGGTTCGGTTTTGGCTCCTTCCGGGTTGGATTTTAGCTGAAATTTCTCTACTGTTTCTACCCCTTTGCTGGGCTCGGTTTGGCTTAAATTGTATTGAAATTTCTCTACTGTTTCCACCCCTTTGCTGGGCTCGGTTTGGCTTAATTGTATTCTTTTCTTTAGCTCTTATATTGGGCTTGGTTTTGTCTAAGATCTGGGCTCATGGGCTCAGTTTGGCTTGGAGGGTTATCTGTTTTTGCTCCTTTTGTTGGTTTTAGTTGAGTTGAAATTGTGTTTTATTTTGACTCCACCTGTTCGACTCAATTTTGGCTGGAATTCTATTTCTGTCTGCCCTTTCCTGTTGGGCTCGGTTTATCCTCTATGGCTCCCTGTTTTATTCTTCTTACTGAGCTCGAGCGTAGTCGACATCATATATGCATGATAAGATGAAGCGTAATATGGTCGTTTTCTTTAGCTCCTTTTGCTTTTTTTTATTCTCGTCTTATTTATACATTTGATTCTCTTCCTATCTTATTCAAATGCCTAAAACCTAAAAATACTATTACTGCAACATAATGAGTTATCTAGAGATAACTTAAGAGTAATCACACTCTCAAACTACAATAACTCGAAGAAAAGAAATGCAATATGCATGTTGGTCTTTTATATCTTTATAAATAATCTTATAATATGTTAGTATTTCACATTTTTATAAGAAATCTGATAATATGTTAATGCATGTATCAATGATTTTTTTAAAATAAAAATACTTAAGTGTTCTTAATGCATTTACTTTACTTTATACTCTTTAAATACACGTCTGTCTCTGTGAAGGTCACCGTCAACAAAACTCAACACACTCTTGACTAATATTGTCATGTTGGATTTTGTCGGCACAATTAGTGATGTAAAAATCATAAATGTTTAGGGTGGAAAGACCCTTACCTGCCTCCTGACCGATGTTATCCCATCGGCACAGCGATCAACAATATAAATATCATAATTGTCTGGGAAGGTTAGCACCAGTCAACTCTTTCTTGACCTATATTATCCCATCGGCACAGCGATTAGTGATCTAACCATCACAATTGTCTGGGAAAGTAGAAAAACTCTACGTGCGCGGGTACACTGATATCATATGTCTGTACCATTAGAGGGTGAAATCCTCTTCTGAACATGTACATACAAGCATTCATATATAAGATATTTCATTCTTTACATCATACATTATTATGAGACATCTTTATATATCTACTAACATATATATCTACTCTAATGTGCAATTATTCATCATGCATATGTTTTGTAATATGCATATCTCTTATCTTATCCATAACTTTTTTTATCATATTTATCATGCATATATGTTTCTGATCATGTCTATCATGTTTATCTTACATATCATGTCTATTACATATCATACATTTCATGCATATCTTGTACATCTTTTTTGTCATGCATATTTTTTTTTTAATCTGACAATATGAATAATCTAACTAAACTATAGTATACACAAACTCAAACATACAATCTGAAATAAAAAAAATTACTAAGTTTTAAAATGTAATTACTCATCTTGGATGCCACACTAAGTTCTCAAACTTCAGTAATTAGTTGGATATTGGATAAAATTTGATCTTAACAGCCTGAAATTTACGTAGCCGCAGCACAAGTTCCCACACGCTTGCATCAAACTCGTCACCTTAGGTAACTAACCTAAAATCTTAAACGAAATAAAAATTCAGAATATCTTGACTAATCAAGTAATTTAACCAAGAAAAATAACATTATTACTTCAAATAGGCTTCTCGACATAAGTCAGTCTTTACAAAGCTGTCAAATATCTTCTCTCTTCTTCCTATCTTCTCAATCTTCTCTTCCCCTTTTACTGATTTGTGTTAAGCCCCCTATAAAACTCACAAACCAATTACGAAACTTTCGGCACAAAATCGGCACCTCTGACAGCTATCGAAAATGAATGCATGAAAAACGAGACAAATCTCAAAATGGAAATAAGAGGAAGGAAATGAATTTCTCAAATAGCGTGAAAAAGGGTTTCGTACTCACCGATTTCACCCCAAAGTCCTAAAATGCTGATTGCGGCACTTTGCGAGCTGCTTGTTACCGATCATGCCTGTGGTACAGTGAATTTTTTGGATGCTTGCGTGATCGAACAGGGAGGCGCGAGCCGCTTGTTACCGATCATGCCCGTGGTACAGTGTAGGATCGTAGTTTTTCTCGCGGGAATTTTTTGGATGCTTGCGTGATCGAACAGGGAGGGGAATTAGAAGGGGGAGAGGAACACGACACGTAACCGAGAGGAAAGGGGAAGGGTTTCGAAGCTTTGGAATAAGAATCCCAGCCCTTCGATCAAAAGCCTAGGCTTAATATCACATGAGTAAGGCGGTTGATACAGTAACAATGTGGGATTAAGGATAGTTAAGGGTTTAATCAAATGAACTAAACTTATTACTTTCAGTTTTTTTGTCTTCCAATCTACTTAAAATTTATATATAGCTTTTATATCAAATTGATCGACTTGACGCGTAGAATTTTATAAAATTGATTCGACTGAAATTCGAGAAATCCAAAATTTGGGGTATATTTTATGTCGCTAAAAATTTTATCAAAGTGCTCATAAATGAGTTATTACAGCAGGAAGGAGCCCACCTATGTATCCATATGGGACCATTCTCTCACATCAACAGCACTGTTCAACTTTAGAGAACCCAATCCGATAGTGCTTGCTTTCTCAGAAGTCAGAAGTCAATTCCAGATTTTACCATCACTGGAGATGGAGATCAAAGTCGCCCTTGCAACAATATCCATCCC